ATTTGGATGCCTTTTATTTCTTCTTCTTGTCTAATTGCGATGGCTAATACTTCCAGTACTATGTTGAACAGGAGTGGTGAGAGTGGGCATCCCTGTCTTGTTCCTGTTCTTAGGGGAAATGGTGTTAGTTTTTGTCCATTGAGTATGATGTTGGCTGTGGGCCTGTCATATATGGCTTTTATTATGTTGAAGTATGATCCTTCTACTCCCGCCTTGCTGAGAGTTTTTCTCAAAAATGGGTGTTGGGGGGAGAACCAAGATGGCGGCATAGGTTAACGCCGGAGTTTGCTGCCTTGAACAACTACTTCAAAAGTGAAACTAAAAGATGGAACGGACATCATCCCGAACCACAGGAACGCTGGCTGAGTGGAAGTCCTACAACTAGGAGGAAAGAGAAACGCATACGGACACTCAGAGGAGGCGCAGTGCTGAAGTCAAATTCTGAGGTGCGGAGTGCGAGGAGTGGGCTGGCTGCGGAGGGCGCGGTTGGCGTTTTCAATCGGGAGGGAGTCGCAGACTCTGAGCTCCAGATACAGGCGAGTCTTTAGGGACCCAGACTCAAACGGGAGAAGCGGGACTGTCTGGCTTTGGTCAGAGCGAGTGCAGCTTTCTCTCCGAGCTTTGCAGCGGGTGCTGGGACTCAGAGAGGCAGAGCCCCTGGGGACAGGACTGAGAGCCGCCATAACTGCTCTCTCCGGCCCACCCTGTTGATCCTGTGCGACCTGCCCCGCCCAAGCCCTGCACAGAGGCTTTTGCCGGATAGCCTCAGGCAAAGGCCAGATTAGCATCTCCCTAGAGGACAGAAGTTCTCTCACTGCAGACACAGCTGATTCTCACAGCCACTTGGCCTGGAGGTCAAACCCTCCCTGGTATTAACATTCAAGGTTTATAGGACTGCGCACAAAGACCACTAGGGGGTGCACCAAGGTAGCATAACTAAATGCGGAGACAAAGAAACAGGACAAAATTGTCAATGGAAGATATAGAGTTCAGAACCACACTTTTAAGGTCTCTCAAGAACTGTTTAGAAGCCACCGATAAACTTAATGAGATCTACAAGAAAACTAATGAGACCCTCGATGTTATATTGGGGAACCAACTAGAAATTAAGCATACACTGACTGAAATAACGAATATTATACAGACTCCCGACAGCAGACCAGAGGAGCGCAAGAATCAAGTCAATGATTTGAAATGCGAGGAAGCAAAAAACACCCAACCGGAAAAGCAAAATGAAAAAAGAATCCAAAAATATGAAGATAGTGTAAGGAGCCTCTGGGACAGCTTCAAGCGTACCAACATCAGAATTATAGGGGTGCCAGAAGATGAGAGAGAGCAAGATATTGAAAACCTATTTGAAGAAAAAATGACAGAAAACTTCCCCCACCTGGTGAAAGAAATGGACTTACAGGTCCAAGAAGCGCGGAGAACCCCAAACAAAAGGAATCCAAAGAGGACCACACCAAGACACATCATAATTAAAATGCCAAGAGCAAAAGATAAAGAGAGAATCTTAAAAACAGCAAGAGAAAGAAACTCAGTTACCTACAAGGGAATACCCATACGACTGTCAGCTGATTTCTCAACAGAAACTTTGCAGGCCAGAGGGAGTGGCAAGAAATATTCAAAGTGATGAATACCAAGAACCTACAACCAAGATTACTTTATCCAGCAAAGCTATCATTCAGAATTGAAGGTCAGATAAAGAGCTTCACAGATAAGGAAAAGCTAAAGGAGTTCATCACCACCAAACCAGGATTATATGAAATGCTGAAAGGTATCCTTTAAGAAGAGGAAGAGGAAGAAAAAGGTAAAGATACAAATTATGAACAACAAATATGCATCTATCAACAAGTGAATCTAAGAATCAAGTGAATAAATAATCTGATGAACAGAATGAACTGGTGATTATAATAGAATCAGGGACATAGAAAGGGAATGGACTGACTATTCTTGGGGGGGAAAGGGGTGTGGGAGATGCGGGAAGAGACTGGACAAAAATCGTGCACCTATGGATGAGGACAGTGGGTGGGGAGTGAGGGCGGAGGGTGGGGCGGGAACTGGGAGGAGGGGAGTTATGGGGGGGAAAAAAGAGGAACAAATGTAATAATCTGAACAATAAAGATTTAATTAAAAAAAAAAAAGCATGGAATCAAACAGACCAAAAAAAAAAAATGGGTGTTGGATTTTGTCAAATGCTTTTTCTGCATCAATTGATATGACCATGTGGTTTTTTTCTTTCAATTTGTTTATGTGATGTATCACGTTTATTGATTTGCGGATATTGTACCATCCTTGCATCCCTGGGATAAATCCTACTTGGTCATGGTGTATGATCTTTCTGATGTACTGCTGGATCCGATTTGCTAAGATTTTGTTGAGGATTTTGGCATCTATGTTCATGAGGGATATTGGCCTGTAATTCTCTTTCATTGTGTTGTCTTTACCTGGTTTTGGTATTAGGGTGATGCTGGCTTCATAGAATGAGCTTGGAAGTGTTCCTTCCTCTTGAATTTTTGTAGTAGTCTGAGGAGGATAGGTTTTAGTTCTTCCTTGAATGTTTGGTAAAACTCCCCTGTGAAGCCGTCTGGTCCTGGGCTTTTGTTTGCTGGAAGCTTTTTGATGACTGCTTCCATTTCTTCCATAGTTATTGGCCTGTTGAGATTTTTAGATTCTTCCTGACTGAGTTTTGGAATGTTGTATTTTTCTAGCAATTTGTCCATTTCCTCCAGGTTGTCTAGTCATTTAAAATCTTGATCCAGGAGGCTGTTACACTAGTTCATTCACTTTGTTACCAAGATATACAGTCATGATTACTGCAGTTCTTTTATCCCTTAAGATTTTTCACACCCATCATTTCAGAAATTTTTAAATATTGTATTTTATCAATTTTGGCAATGGTACAGGAAAAGGGCTTTTCATATATTAGGGTTAGGAATGTAAATTGTGACAACTACTTAGAGGAGCAAATGGAGGAAACCTACTAAGATTTAAAATGTGCATACTCTGAGAAGTGCATTCACATGTTAGTATCTGTATCTTCCAGGACACTTATATAGGTACAAAAAGGCACATGCACTTATGTTAAAGGTTGCAATGCTTCCAAGTGTTGTAGGAGGTGGGAATGGAATGGCACCAGTTATATGGCCGGTGGGGTTAAACCAAACCTGGGTTCAGCAACCTCATTGCTTGGGTCCTGTCTAGGAAAGAGTTCAGGGTCCAGACTCAAACTGTTAATAGAATATTTATTGGATAAATTATAGAGGTAGAAAAAGTAATTCCTGGAAGAAATGGACTTGGAAAACAAGTTATAGAGGTAAAGGAAGGGCCCTTGAAGAGAATAGTCAGCAGTTTTCCAGGGGGGTCCTTTCATTGACTGATTGGCTTTCACTGACTGGCTGGCACCAGAGCAGGGGTCATTATTCAGTGCAGCTGGTCCAGATATCAGCCATGGCTGGTTTTGTTGCTTATCTGGACCTAGAGCTGAAATACAGTTGAGGCATAGATGTTATCTCCAGGGAGGAAAAGTGTGTGCAGGTGTCACCCTCGGGGCAAGGTCCCACCCTAAAATTGTCCATTGCTAGGCACCAGGGGCTTTTCCACCATGGTGACCTTCTGTACTTGGCCCATTGTCGTTGCTCTGCTCAAGTCTGTCTAACTTCCTACCACACACACACACACACAGACACACACACACACAGAGGAGGGTAGGAGAATCATAATTATATCTATTGGTTCTGAGGACTCCCATGAAGTATTTTGAAAGCACTGGGTAAATTTACATAGAGGTGTGAAAAGATCTCAAATATATAATGTTGATACATAATAACATCGATGCATATGTAAATGCATAGGAACCAGGAGTCATCAGATAGGGACTGGGTTTGCAATTAGTGCCTGAGCAGGATATTAGCCTAACTTGTAATGTTTAAATTTATGACTGTGTAACTTAAAATTAATAACAGCACTTAGAATGTCTTTAAAAGAATATCCAAGATGTCAGCAACACTAGTTGCCTCCAATAGGTGAACTGAGTGCCCAAGAAACTGGAAGAAGGATTTTCACAGTATAATCCTCTGTGTCTTTAAATATTTCAAGGATATAACTGTAGCATCTATTTGGGGGAGGGGGAATGTTAATTAAAATATATAGATAACTTAACTTAAAACAATAATTAAAAAATGCCCAATCTCCTAGGAAAACATAATTAAATGTGACTATTATGAAGATCTTGGTGTCAGCTATGTGATAGGAGCTCAGAGAAAGGTCTCCTAAATAGGTCTAGAGCAGCGGTTCTCAACCTGTGGGTCGAGACCCCTTTGGGGGTCGAACGACCCTTTCACAGGGGTCGCCTAAGACCATCAGAAAACACACATAAAATTACATATTGTTTTTGTGATTAATCACTGTGCTTTCATTATGTTCAATTTGTAACAATGAAAATACATCCTGCATATCAGATATTTACATGACGATTCATAACAGTAGCAAAATTACAGTTATGAAGTAGCAACGAAAATAATTTTATGGTTGGGGGTCACCACAACATGAGGACCTGTATGAAAGGGTCGCGGCATTAGGAAGGTTGAGAACCACTGGCCTAGATGATTCAAAACGGAGGTGAAGCTAGAACAACAAAAAAAATGTCCCACTTTTTCATTCCTGTAGAGCTTAGTGCGAGGCGCTCACGGGCCCTGAAATCTAGTCCCGATATGATTTTCAAGGCGGAAGAAGCAAAATTGATGACGGTGGGGAAGCGTCTGCTTAGTAAAACCGAGAGGCACCGGATTGGGTCAAGTGCAACCAGCGCTGGCCCTCAACGCCGGAGTTCCAAATTCCCACCCTCTCCTGGGGGCAGATAAGCCCGCCCTCTTTCGCCTTTCCGCCTCGCTTATTGGGCAGACTGATGATTGACATACATACTTACCAATCAGTGAGCCTACTACGACACTCGGGCCCCAGCCGGGTCTTTGGTCCCTAGGGCGACTTGCGGACTCCGTGCGTCTACGTCAGCGTGCTGACGTCAGGAGCCGGGTAATCGTGGAGGTTCGGGCGGCTGGCGGCCGGCGGTGGGCTGCGCCTCGCCTGCGGGGCTCGATCCAGGGTCCCGCCCTGCAGAGCCCGCCCCTCTGCTCGCGAGGCCCCCCACGGGCGCGACCACGGAGTTGTGGTCCCTGGGCCAGCCTGGGGCAGCAGGCCCGGACCACCCCATGAGGTAGGCTGGGTTTCTCGTCATCCTATTTGACAGATTGGAACACTGAGTCAGCCGGGCTCAGATGACCTCCCGGGGGCTCACCGGAGCCCCGCCGACGGAGGCCGCAGCCCGAGCATCCAGCTGTTTGCTGCGCCCCCCCGGAGAGGAGGAGGCGGAGGAGGCGGAGGCAGAGGAGGCGGAGGAGGCGGAGGAGGCTGGGCTAGGCAGGCTCTGTTTATAAAAGATCCGCGAAAGTGAAGTTGCAGCGTGTTAGCCCGTTTTCATCTGGGGCCTGGGCGGGGATTCGGGGGCTGTTTGCAGGAGCGAGGTCTCCATTCCTCCACCCTGCAGACCCAGGGGAGTCTCCGGTGGGGTCCAGCCTCATGTGGGCGCTGTGGGCCCTCCAGAGCCACCAAGAATGGTGACGGGGTGATGCCCGGGTTATACAGGCAAGTGTAACCGGCATCTGATATTCTTCAGTCAAAAAGCTGTGTTCGACACAACACTTAGAAATGAAAGCACAAGTCATGGATGAGTTGGCTGTGGTTTAGTTCACTGCTTTGCTCACTGATGGGCACCTGGCCATATTTCAAAATCTCATTAGCATGCTTACTTTCGTTTAGGATTAGCAAGGGTTTTTGTTTTTTTTTCGTGTTTTTTTTCTTTTTTCTTCTTTTAGTTCAAACATGAACTTGTCTTACCATTCCCTTAATGTGCCAATTTTTCATCAGGTCACTTGTCTTTATTTCACATGGAATCACTGAATTCATCACTTGGTTAAGTTTAGCAAGGTAAAGTAACAGGTCTCACCGCTCAGACATAGTGGAATTAACTCGGTTTGTTTATCTCTGAACTCTGTTGAGAAGGGTTCTGAATGATAATTTCTGTATTACCCATCTACTCAGATACCCTCTCCTTCTAGAAGCAGGATCTCACAAAACTTACGGTACTGTCGCTTTATTCATAAAGTAAAAACATATCACGTACTATATGCACACATACATATTTTCTACGATCCTGAAGGATTTATTCTCTTTAAATCTTGCTGTCTCAAACATTGATCTTTTAAGACTGCATTATTGCATAAAACTGCATTAAAGAAATGAAACTGAAGCCATTTCCGGGGACTTTTTCTAACTTGTGTCCACAGAAGGATGGTAATATCATTTGAATTTATTCTTTGGATAAGTTTATCTGATGAGTGTATCATCTATGCCACACTTTGTTTTAGGTGTTGGCAACTGAGTGCTGAAAAATGTATGTAAGGTTTTTGCCTTCAAAGACCTTAGCTTTTGGTGGAGATGCAATAAACATGTAAACACAAATGACAACTTGAGCCCGGCCTGCGTGACTCAGTGGTTGAGCGTGGACCTCTGAACCAGGAGGTCACGGTTCGATTCCCGGTCAGGCCACATGCCCGGGTTGCTGGGTCAGTCCCCAGGGCTGGGGGCATTCAGGAGGCACCAATCAATGATTCTCTCTCATCATTGATGTTTCTATCTTGCCCTCTCCCTTCCTCTTTGAAATCAATAAGAATATATATTTTGTAAAAACGTCAATTTTAGATAATGATAAATGCCAGAAAAAAAGACTAGAGTGTGACTGGGATATGGGGGGAAATTTAGGTATGGTGGTCAGTGAAGACTTGCTTGAAGAAGTGACAGTTTGAGTGAGACCTGAATTTTAGAATGAGTCAGCCATGGCAAGCTCTGCTGGAAGTTTCCAGGCAGATGTGCAGAAGAGCTAAAGGAAAAATGTGCTAGGCAAGTTCCAGAGATAGAAGAGAAGCCATGTGACGAGTGAAGTGAACCTAGGGAAGAGTGAAGGGAAGGACAGCGGAAGGAGAAGACACTCAAGAGATGGACAGGAGCCGGGTCATCAAACAGACAAAGGAAATAGGATTTGTGTATTGCCAGAGCCCTCTTTGTTTTCTTTAGGGATGGTGATAGACTCTGACCATCTCTCTGCTTTATTTTGGTTATGAAGTCATTGCAATAATCCATTATATCTTTTTTTCACTCGAGGTCCTCTTTCTTAAAGAAAAAATGTCTTCTTCCCTCAAGCACTCTGTCCCAAGATGTTTCTTCCCTGTTCACTGTTACTATGTGCAGGACTCTGAGCCTCTGCTTGTCTTCAGCTTCCTGGTTCTATCCTTCCTATTGCCAACCATGAGTCCTCTCTAGTATCATTTATGTTCTCACTCTTGGGAAAGGACTGGAAGTTAATCCCTGCTCTTCTCCAAGCGGAGTTCTTGGAAACTGCGTTGATGAAGTTAATAACCATTTTCCATTAATTAGAGACTTAATGTCTGCCTTCATTTGGTGCCTGCCGTGTTCCAGGCATGTTACATACATTTTAATTCTTCCAACATATTGGGAAGGTAAATATTATCCCTTCTTTATGGAAAAGGAAACCTAGACCTAGCTAATACTGAGGGAGTATAGATTTGAACACCCCAATTAACCCGTCCCCAAAGCCTAATCCATGTTACTTTGCTGCTTTCCTGAGTATGTAACAGCTGCTACAAATCGCTATTATTTCACATTATATTTTATAAAATGGCATTTAGAGATCATGATTCAGTACTCTCAGTTGAAAGCTGGGCTGTGGAGATGTATAGATGTTTAGTGATTTTCAAGACATAACTGATGCCAAATCCTCCCCCTGCCGATTTTCAGCCAAATGCGTTTTGAAAATTTCACCACAGGGGGTTTCTGTATATATAAAAACATAGCATTCCAATGTCCATAAACTTATACAAGGTCATTTTTAAAAGATTAAAAAGTGCTGCTTTGGGGGGCTAAAAGAAATCCTTTGTTTTATTTTCCTTCCCTTTTCTAAGCATTAAACAAGTATAAGCTTTCTGGATGAATCTTTGGTTTCTGTTAGTAGAAAGTCATTTCAAATAACTTTAATATTTAATTTTTTTATTTCACAAATCTTTGAAAGGGACTTTAAAGTTGTTACTGTTTTCCCTTTAACCTTATGCTTACAAGTATGGGAAGCTTTTTTCATTAGTCAATTAGAATAATGTTAATGGATTAGCACCTTTTTTCTTAAATGTTGGAAGAAATTTAAATTTAGGCAAAAGAGAGCTTTTGATCTTTAAGCCATCTACTGGATATTTTGTCCTGGTATCTCTGTCCTGTAAGATCATTCATGCAACTAAATCCCATTCTGATGATCAAGACTGTTGTGATTTGGCTTCAAATCATAGTGCCCTTCTTCCACTAGGACCCCTGAACCCCAAAATGCACTCCTGGCCTTTCCTCCAACTTCAGTGCCATTGTTGGTACTCTGCTCGCAGCCTGGAATGCCTTCTAGATGGACAAATCCAGCCAAAGTTCTCCCTGTCCATCTGCATCCATCTATGCTACTCTCTCAATGAGATATTTCCCATGTCTCCTTAATGGAAGCCTTCCTTTTCACAGCACTTTTGGGAGATTTTCTCTGCACAGGTTACCAATCTTGATACCTTTGGTAATGCACTGTTTTATTCATGGGTGCTCAAATAGATGTTAGCTTGAACTTAAAAGAGACTTAATTCATGTTATACATGCAAAGTTTTTTGTAGATTGTAGAGCCCTTTAGTTTTATTCCTGCGTTTATTCCTCATCTTTGAGAGAAGCACTGAGATGCTTTCTTGGCTTTGAATCATACAGACTCTTTCCTGTTTCAGTTAAGGCTCTGACTTCTATAGTTAACAAGGGGTCCCTTGGGAGGAACTCAAATCTTTGGGTTGTAAGTGTTGAAGAGAGATTGTCGCAAATAAAAATCAATGTTGTGTGTGTTTATAGTGTCAGAAAAAAAATAACAGCGATTCCACTTTAAAAAAAATATATTTCTATATTGATTTCAAAGAGGAAGGGAGGAGAGAGAGAAACATCAATGATGAGAGAGAATCATTGATTGGCTGCCTCCTGCACACCCCACACTGGGAATCAAGTCTGCAACCCAGGCATGTGCCCTTGGCCAGAATCGAACCTGGGACCCTTCAATCCGCAGGCCAATGCTCTACCCACCGAGCCAAGATGGGCAGGGCCGATTCCGCTTTTTAATATTAAAGATAAGAAAATGCAGGCACAGAGAGACTAGCCGGAGACCCCTGCAGTGTTGGGCTAAGAAGCCTGGTCAGGACCCCTGGTTCACAGCAGCAGGAGCTTGTGCAGGCCATCTGTTGGCTCCAGTGTGGTACATCAGAACTCCTGAAAGCCTCTCACAAGTTTATCAGCACAGCTCAGTCGTTTCCAGACTGTTTTGCTTGCTTTTCTTGTGCGTTGACCTGGATCTGGAAGATAACCTCTTGGTGGTGACTCAAGATCAAAGCAGGGCCTCTAACCAAGGATCTTCCTGGGCAGGCATGGGGGTAGTGTCAGGTTTGGTAGACCCCTGTATAGTTCAAAGGCTTCTCTTCCACTTCCCCTCTCATTAGTTTTCCAAAAAATATATTGGGACTGGTGGGCATCCTCAACCCATTAAACTTGGATTTTGAAAAATTTGGCTTAGTGCCTTATACATTGTGGTAATCACAAGTTTCTGTGTCTTGTATTTTCTAGAACATTATACTTTTCAAATACAGTGGGGCCTTGACTTACGAGTTTAATTCGTTCCATGACGGAGCTCATAACTCAAATTACTCGTATGTCAAATCAAAAAGTGAACGAATGAGACACGTGATGCTGGGCTGATGTGGCGTTCACTGTGACGTTCGCTGCGCCAACTAGCGGTGGGGTATCTGAAGCTGGCTCGTAACTGGAATTTTAGCTCGCAACTCAAAGCAAAAAATCGGCGAGAGACGGCTCGTATCTTGAAAAACTCGTTAGTCGGGACACTCGTAAGTCAAGGCCCCACTGTACTGTGCATTATTGTTTGCCAAAGTATATTCTTATCTGCTTTTTTGTTTCAAGAAAATGTATTCTCATAATTATTTTTTTTAATTAATCACTTGCCTGTTGGATTAATGATGTGGAACCAGAGAATTTTAAGTACATTTCCCTATTTGTATGGTAGTAGAATTCATC